CTCCATCATCCGCTGAGCCGCGCTGACTCCAGTCCGGGTCTTCTTCTGAGATGTGCCCATAATCAATACCCAAACGACCCCGCCCTCCAAGCTCACCAAGACGAACATCTAGAACACCTTCCTCACTCACATCTGAGTCTGAGGCGTGAATCTCACCTTCGGCACGAGCTGGCCCAGTCAACCAGGCATCCGGGCGAGATTCCAAACGAAAAAACATTTGACCACGAACTCCACTTTCGAACTCATCTGGCACTCTGCCTTCCGGCACTCTGCCTTCTGGCACTCTGCCTCAGTAGCTCCACTGTTGGCATTATTGTTAGGGCCAGGATAGCCATTTTCAGGCATCGGCCTTGGCGGCACTATTGGCGGCGGCGGGTTGTCTGGAGCATTGAAACACATGGCACAAATTCGCCGTCCCAACTGCCGACGTTGCATCTCTTCAGGGGTCAAGTTCTCAAGGGTGACCAGAACAATGCGGCCCTCCCTAACAGTAACCACATCCGGCTCGAAGTTGATCATGATCGGGGTCTCCATAATGTCCAACGCTTCTGCAACAGCTTGGGCAATCTCAAACTCATGTCGCGCAGGGGCGGGAGGTCTTGGGCCAGGTGGGTAAGGTGGCCGATTCACAGGCGTTGGTGGCGGCGGACCCATTTGTGGCCCTGGCACTCTGCCTTCCGCCCCACCACCTTCTTCACCAATGCCATTCACCCCGGTTGGCGGCACTCTACGAGGCCGTCGCTTCGGAGTCCTCACCCGGCCGATCCTCCCCGCTGCTGCCGGTTTGGCCTTCGGTTTCGGTGCCATGGTGCTTAACTTTAAATATCTTTGATCCAACAAGCTGCAAGCAACTATATGTGTTGGATAGTACGAACCGGTACTAGAAGTTGATTGTCATGTCCGTTTCAATACCACATGCAATAGGTTCCACTGGACGACACAAGCATTTATGCACATGATCATTAGATTAACACATAGTTGAAGACAGAGTGCTATTAATAGATGATGTAGTTTAATGTTCGAAAGCAGTATGCCCAATAATAAGTGTATGCATATAATCCATACATATATCTATATGTATGTATGTATGTTATACATATACCTAGGTCTATGTGTAAACTTACCACACACAGTAACGGTTTAGGTTTTAAAAGAGCTTCAGGGTTTTAGGTTTTAAGGAGGTCCATGGTTTAAAGGTACTTCAAGGCAGAGTGCCACCTAGTTTATGCTTAATCATAAGATGTGTTACTACTCGTAGGGATTTGGTTGGGTTAGCTGGACTGTGCCGATTCAATGGGATGCGATA